CTGCGGCCAGGCGTGGAAAGCCGAAATGGCCCTCCAAGGGGCCCAGCAGAAGGTGCCCAAAGCTGTGCGGGAGGTGCAGGAACCCGTGGTGATAGGTGATGGCGCCCCTCGAGCTGCTGTGCTGCAGGCTCGAGCAAGCTCTCGGTCTTCATCCTCCCAGCACCCTGCTGCATGCCCACTGCTCTGAATTTGATGAAGCATTGGAGCTTAGCCGCAGCCTTTTGCATGAAATGGGAGCTGGGCTGAAGGTGAAACGCTGGTTACAAAACCTGGTATGACTTGCCTGTTGGGACTTGAACTCCTAACTGCACGTGAAACACCTGCCTATACAGATTTCTGTTGTTACATGCTTGTTATACATCTGTTGCTGATGTCTGCTGTAGGACTAGGTGCTGTTGAATCCCTCCAAGGACTTTGCACTTACAGCTTGGAGAACAAAAGAAAGCAATTTTCTTCAGATAACGTCGTTTGCAAACAAATGCAGGCTTTAGATTCACCTTAGGATAACGCATATGTGCTGCATTATCTGGACTTTGTATAAGAATTTGCAGTTGTCTTACAAGTACATGAGTTCTACAACAAAATAAGTAAGTCTTACTCATTTTTAAAAATGGAAAGAATATGTTGAGGTGCAGCCAGCGGTATTAGTGCAGTGTTTGGACACGCTGCTCAGCTGGCATTGGTGCTGATAGCAACCCCGTAGCACTGGGGTCCTGGGAGATTGCTTCCATGGTCGGTTGGTGCAGCTCCTGGTATCGCCACAGCTTTCGCTTCTGGCTGCAGTGCAGCCAGTGCTGTGGCATGGGTGGAGGCGAGTGCCTGTCCTAACAGCACACGGTCTGACGCTGGTGCAGCCGCAGGCGGGAACCACTCAAGTTGTGCCATATTCTTGCTATAAATTCATCAGTCCCTAGGGAGTTTTTGCATTTTTCTTTGTGTTTAAAGTGGAAATTGTTTTTAGGGAGAACCGTCAACAATATAGTGTAGCGACTCAGCAGAAAAACTGCCTCAGAGGCACAGCTCTCGGTTGCTTGTATCGCCAGGCAGTGTTGGAGTACAGCTGAGAGGGGCTGCTGGGCGCATGCTGTTTGCTGTAGCCTGGCTGGGCAGCGGGAGAGCATCCCGCGGCAGGGAGGTCTGCCTGCTGCAGCTCCCTTGCTGCTGCCGGCTACTGGGCAGTTTTTTTCCGGGTATGTTTCACCGTCCATTTCAAAGTCAGGTTGCTTTGTTGGTGGTCAGGAGTTTTGTTAAGAAAACCAGGCTGGCCTCAGTAACTTTTTTCTGAATATTTGGAGGAACTTTCACACATTTACTGATGTGCTGCCACTTCCCTTGGCAAGGTGCTGGTGCCCGGCAAGCGTCTCCTGCCTCTGGCCCTTCCTTCTCCCTCAGGAACTCATACCAGCTGCATAAGGAAGAAAACCTGAAACACTTCGATGGAGTGCTGGAAGGAATGTCACCTGTTCATTCACTGATCTGAAGAGGAAACACATCACTTTTTGGCAGTACCAGCTGAGGTATTCCTTATCCTAAATTCAGTTTCAGTCAGAAAAGATACCGGCTGTTGGGTTTTTTTTGCTGTGAGATACAACAAAAGTTTGCCATTCCTTCAGAACTGAACGGTGTGGAAAGACCTAATGAAATAATGTGCGTTAACTTATCTAATGTGGGTTATAGGCAACATTGGAGTAATTAATTTCATTAATCCTGCTATAATCAAAGACACGCTTCAGAGACTTGTTTTACACAAAAAAGCTCTTATGTCCCAACTGTCAGTAAGAAAAATTATCTTCCACTACAAATGTTGCTGAAATATGGGAAAATGAATCAAATCCTTAGGAATTCTTGCTTAACAAGTTCTGCTGAAAGCACAGGTGTTAACACCTGTCACAGCCAGAGCTTGACTTTGATCCTGCTTAAGCAGGAGTAAATTAGTTCACTTGGCTGATGCTGCTGGAGTTCTGCCAGCACAGGGTAAATGAGATCAAATGTAGGATCTTTACAGGAACGGGATAGGAAAAGACTGGAGTAATTCCTTGTGAGTTTGTTTTTTTTCCGTGGTCACTTCCAAATTCTCAAGGCCAGAACAAGCTTCCCTTTGCTGATGTGGTCCTTGTCATTCTCTCATGCGCTTTTCTGGGGACTGCTACCAGGCATTGGGTGACATTTGCATACGACTCGGTCATAATTCCAAAGAGCTCTTCCCTGGATGGATGCAGTTAGGACTGTTTCCTCCCTATGTATTATATTTATTCACACCAAGCTTCATCTGTCACTTTACATGTAGTTTTCCACTATCGTGAGGCTCCCTGCCGCTGAATAACTCAGCAGACTGTATCACCTCACAACTCATTGCCTCTTCCAAATGGCAAACATCTTAATATTCAGCAAAGTCGTATGCAGAGCTAGTATTTTTCCTGAGTGATTCAGACAGAAGGTTCTGGTCGCAGAGGGGGAGCTGCAGGCAGATTCAGCTTCAGTGACAGACCGTGATTTCAGTTTGCATGAGTCAGGCTGTCATTGTTGCCCCTGGGACTCACCCAGTTCTCCTCATCCCGCCGGCTCTCCTGCTTGTGCTGCAAAGTGGCCCTCTCCGGCAGCAGGGCTGAGAGGTGGCGGGGGCAAGCACCTCAGGCCCTGCGGCATCCTGCCACTCGCCTGGGTGAGCTAGCCTGTGCTGGGGGAAGCCCAGCAGACCCAGCAAGGCAGAGCACGCAAAGTAACCGGGAAGCAACAGCTACTACCATGCACATGCATGTTACCACAGCATGCTATGCAGTGTAGTTTTTGCAAAATATTTATTACAAAATAAACGTAAATATGGCAACAAAACTTAAATAGCAAATGACACGACATTGGCCATAAAGCTCTTGCTATATTATTAGTTTTTTTACAATAATCAATAGTCAAGTATGTCTCCAAGGGAAGCTGCATGTGGACAGCTTGAGTATATTTCTGTATTATTGGCTCTAGCTGTTTGAGATACATTAGATGTGTGCCTCCTGCTTTCACCTGTACCCGGCTGTGAGTGGTTGTGCCGTGTGCTGGGCTCACTGATCCCCCTAAAACGGACAGGAGCCGGCAATTCCCATGCTCTATGAAACCTGCCATGCTTTACCCCAGCCACTCCTCCCCTTTTTTCTTTCAAAAACACAGCAAATGATCCAATGCCCATCCCTTTTTAATAAGGTAGCAGGAAATGGAGTATCAACACTGAAGTAACTATTGCTCCCCTTTGAGTCACAACTTTTCTTGTGAGAGGTTGCTTGGATTTCTTTCCTCTCCCACCTACTAAAAACTGTTATGAAAGCTCACCAGTGAGAAAGCAAGTCTGTGTTCCCACTGAAAGGGCTTTTAGGTGTGCTCCAAACAGGAATGCAGTCCTTCAAGTCTCTTAAGCCACATGTCTAATGGAAGCACTCTTTAAATAAAATAAAATATAATTAAATTAATAAAGGTGACTGTGTGTGGGGAATCTTCCTAAGGCACCCAAGAATTTAAAAAGACCTTTTCCCACTCATATAACTTACAGGACACTCTTGTTCCTCTTCTCTCCAAAGTTAAAAATGTTGGCTAGTTAGGAACCTTAGCATACATCATGACATAGTTGAATATCATTTAAAAAAAACAGAACAAAAAGAAAACCCTTGGTGAACGTAAAGCACTATGTCCAGACAGCCTAGGTTTTGCTAGCTACACAAATACATCACGGACAACATGTAGAAATAGTCACATTAATGCCAAGGTTTCCGTTGTCGGCAAAAAGGTGTGCTATAGCTGTGTCAAAAACTAGGCAGTCGCTGTTCCGAATGGCCGCAGACACCCCATCGTGGATGGAGTGGGGCGTTGCCTCCCAGGTCAGCCGGCGGCGGTTGCCGTCCAGCTCCAGTCTGTACGCAAAGTTCTCCGCTTGCTTACGGGTGCCGATGAGCAGCACGATGGCAAAAAACTGCTGGTGACCTTCGTACTTCTCTTGTTTCTCCAGCACCAGCATGAAGTGGTGACCAAAGCATGACTGCATCATCACCCAGTCAACCGCCCCTGGAAGGTTAATGTCTGTAGCAAGAAAAACGATGTCTTCTCCCTGAAGAGTGGTAATGCTTTTGTGGGCGTGCATGAGGTGGGACATCACGGCTTCCAAGGATCCCTGCCATTTACAGGTGGCACCAGGGCATGGGCAGGAGTAGGGACGATACTCACAGATGTCTTCGTGTGCTGGCTTTTCTGTGTGATGGAGCGTCAGAGAGCAGCCTGTTGTGGCATACTGGAAAAAGACCAAATACAAGCCGTCAGGAAAGGCACCAGCACTAGTGTTTGCTGCTCCCACCTGTCAACTGGAAACACTGGTGATCAACCAGAACTCTTGTTCTCATTGCAAATTTTACATTAGATGCTTCTATTTAGCCCTGGATTCAGAGCTGAGCTCTACTTATTTTTGTTTCCACTTAAAAATGGATTCTTCTTGTCTTTTGTGTTTTTTTTTTTTCTAATGCAAGCACTTAGATAAAATGGATTGTAAGGCTGAGTTGTAATTAGATCTGCTGTTGTAGTTAGATCTGATCGGTCCAGATCAGCTGAAGTGGTCCTGGTTTGGATTTTTCTTTTCTTTAAAAAGAACAAAGGATTCTAGTTTCAGCAAACAGCTACTAGAGTGAAGTATTTTTAATACATGTACCTTACTACCATCACAGAGCAAAAGCACTTCCATTAAATTCAAATGCAGATTCCCCACAGCTTTTTTTAAACACTGGAACAGTTTCAACACTCCAGTTGTGAGAAGTAGAAAGAGAGGACAACTTTTCACTGAGCATAAAGCTAGCGCACAAATAAGTACCATCTAACTTCTCTTAATGTCATTGGGCACATTAGAGGGTTAATTTGCTTTAAACAACCAGGGATGCTTTTCCTTTTTGTAGTTCAGTTGTCCACACTGACCATATTGCTTCCACGCTACCTCCATAGAGAGAAAAAAAAGTCTCTCCTATTGTCCCCAAGAGCACAGCTCCCTGAGTCCGTAGGTATCTGTAGCGATACCAACACCACTGCTAACACTATCATGCAGGTTACAACACGTGTGCATGGCTGCTTACGGACACTATGACACTTCCTTGAGGACACATATAACCAAGGTATAAATTATTATTTCTGGGCTAATATGTGTGCAGGAAGTTTCAGCTCAAAGGGTTAAATGCCCAAGATGCAAATCACCTATGCTGCAAACACTAGGAATACTGCGCTAGGAGTACTGGGACAGAAACTTGACCTTGTGCTTCTGGAGGAGCTTCTGGAGGAGCTTATTTTATAAGCCATAAAGAGTTAACGTGAGCCTTCATGTACTGTGTCTGTCCCTGCTGCTTAATCCTCTGCTAACAGCTTTATTGCAGGGCACTGCAGTGGAACAAGGCATTCTCCTGCCAACGGCAGAAGCCCCATCATGGCAAACATGCTGTCTGCCATGCAGGCTGCCCTGCTGCGTAGCGCAGTGATCCAGGTACGTGTACACTGCCAGCCCCACCGGCCTGCTGATTTTTCCCACATTCATACCACCGTTAACACTTCCATCATGCAATGTGTTGAAAAGCAGCTCTGAGTCTAACCTCATTAACAAAATTAGTAAGGATATACAAGCTGCTGGTTGGGCGAAACCAGATGTCTAAGTGAAAGCAACCAGTGGTGACTATAGAAGTGAGAGCGTAAAAACAAGACAAGCAAATAGTGGTGGCTTTGCCCTTCACTGTGAGAAGTACCTGCTTTTGTGTGCTCCCAAACCCATCACTGTGGCTTTCATTTGGTGAGGAGCCCTACCAATGATGGGAGACTGTGAACAGCAAAAAGTGACTTGCCGTCTTCATGCTGCTTGGGCAAATGTCATTGATCTTTATCATACCCCTCAAAAGCCTGCTTCGTCTCTCCCTGAGTACAGGTTATACAATACCTTTGAGCTACTTGGCCTGTGCACCTTTTCCACTTCTACTGCATCCGCCTTGAGATGGGGAGCCAGGGCTGTGCACAGTGTTAACAGTGCAAGCGTGACACTAATGCCTGGGCTGGCGTGACTGTTTTCTGCTTTTTCATTGCCCTTCCCATCATTTCTAGTATTCCATGCTGTAAAGTATTATGTAGTCATTTTCATAGTCATTTGTTTAGCACTGTATTCTCTTTCCTAAGAGGAAATGGTCAGTTCAGAGCTCATCACCATGTACATGACGTAGCATGCCATGTTTTTGCCACGTATGTCACTCTGCGTGTGCTGCTCTGAACTTCACTTTGACAGGATAGCTTTCCAAGTGTCCTAAAGCATTCAAAAAATAACAGTTAAGCTTGAAAGTGCTCAGCAGAGGCAGGCCACTATTATCAACCCTATAAACAAAGGCAGGCAGGGACACAGGATTAAAGTAACTTGTCTGAAGCCACGTGGGAAATCAGTAGCAGAGCTGGGAATAGACTGCCAAGTCCAAATCCCTCCTGCTCTAGCCAGCAGACTCTCCCTCTAGTATACAAGTAGCTTGAGATACAAATAATGCTTCTGGAAAGAGGAGGCTTGCCTGCTCCTGAATGTGTGTCAGCAGTGTTCAGGGACCCAGCGAGGACTGAGACCCTCTCGTGCTTCTCCCTCCTCCAGTGCTTTGTAAAATGTCTGTCCCTGCTTTTAAGATCCCTCCAGCCTTCTGAAGCATTCATTCAAGCTTGGGTACAGATGCTCAGCCCAGTCTAGCAGTGATCCTAGGGAGCTCCCCCAGGGATGCACAGTGAGGTCTAGCCCAGAAAACAGCGAGCCTCTGTGCCTTCCAGAGCCTCACACCAGTGAGGAAACCGGCTCAGGCCACAGCCAGCTGCCTGGCAGAGTGCATTTATAAACTCTGCTCTGCCAGCAGTGCTGGGTCTGCTGTTACGGCTCACCTGGGAAAGGACCAGAGAGTGTTGTGTCATTTCATATAGAGCATGCGGGCTCTATGCACATGTGCAGGTAGGGTGATGTTGATACCTAATATAAAGAAATACTGAGGAGACATATGGTTCTCTTTGTCAAAACAAAGTAGCTACATGTTCCGTAGACTGGACATTCCATAGATAAAAGGAAGCCTTGAAGCTCCGTGTACAGGGGTGGAATAGATAAGGAAGTTATGCTGAAACCAGCTAGTTAGTGCAACCGGGCCAGAAGACAAACTGTGCAGGCGAAAAGACTGAGTTCAACTAGCAGACACGGTGAGGAAGACTATCGACCACCACCAGAGGACCCTGAAAGACCACTAATGAACATAACAGTGCATGCGTTAAAGACCTTTACATATGTTAATGAGTTCAAGGAAGTAACGTGAATATGCTAATAATTTCTCAGAAATCAAATGAATATGTATATTCTGATTGTACGTAACTCCTGTAGTTGAGCAGCTTGGCGTGCACACTAGGTGGAGCGATCCCCTGCGCGCCCGGCGCCGCAATAAAGAATGCCTCCTTTCTAAAACTCCAAATTGAGTCTTAGAGAGTTTTTAATCTGCCGACTTACGGTAACAGTTTTGGCGACCCAGATGGGACACTGCTCTTGAGCCTCGACGGATCCTG